CCCGGCCAAAAGAACAATCTTAATAGCAACACAGGTAGTACTTGGATACGGTGAAAATCATAAACTTGGCACGATCAACTGGAGTATGGGAAGCCCTGGTTAACTGGAGGAATCTTCCTTCCTTCCTCACAATGGATTCCTCCTGTAGTCACATCTCTCTCCTGGCTTTTTCCTCTCGGACCCTTCCCCTTAGCCCCATGCCCACTTCCTTCCCACTCTGGCTCAGGGGTGAGCACTGCACTCGGACTCAGGCTTGCTGCTCATCCGCCCGTCAGCCCATCTCCAGCTCCTGCTGCCCCTCACCAGTCGCTGCTGCTCCAGCAGAAGATCGGCTTCTTCCTTTTCTTTCCGGTACTGATTCTCCAGATCCTGCAGCCTGGGATTGGGCGGGGAGGGAAGGAAGAGCAACCTTGGTGAGGTACCTGACAGGAGGAGGACACGGGCCCAGAGGCCTGGGAGGGACGGCCTAGAGGGCCGTGGGGCACGTGGGCATCCCCCTCGCACCTCTTCTCCATTTCCAGCTTGATGTCGATGCCTTGCTGCTCCAGCAGTTCCTTCTGGGCAAAGTTCCAGTCGACTGGCTCAGAGGGCGGTCCTGGGGGTGGGGGGACCCCTCGTTCCCGTTCCAGCCTCGCCTGCTCCGGGTGGTTGAAGCGGAAAACGTGGTTCTTGCCCATCACAATCCTATTCCCTAGAGATGGGAGGAGGGAAAAGTAAACTTGCTCCCCAACAGCACCAAACCCATCCCTACACCCAAGACAGAGAGGATCCAGCACAGGGGCTGTGACACCCTCTCTTGCATCACCCCAAGTCTGAAGGCAGCTGGAGCCTATGCTCCCCTGGCTGACACCCAGGGACCAACCCCATTCCTGTCAGCCAGAGGGAATCGCGAGAGCTTGGCATCCTCTTCCTGTTCCCTGGGACAGCAGGAGAAACCAAGACCTGACTCCTTGACCTTCGCTTCCCATTCCTTCTTTATATCCCCGTGCTATTTCTGATGTATTTCAGGGTCCGCCTCTAGGATGCACCCAGAAGGCCCTCCCTTGAGACTTCCTCCACACAGCCAGGCCCCAGAACCCACACTCTGTGACACATCTTCTACCTGACTTCAGCACCAGCGGCTCCGTCACAAGCTTCCCATTCACATATGTCTCAGCTCCTTCACAAGGCTCCAGAGTGACCACCACTGAACGGAAGGGCAGAGGAAGGGGAAAGATCAGACCCTGGAGGAAGGTGGGTCATGGTCACAGATTCCCACCTTGCCTTACCCCGAAAAACCACACATGCACCACCAGTCCCGCCCCCAGTACCTGTGGGGGGTGCCATGGCCCCTCTGGTGGCAGGCAGCACGGGAAAGGAAGAGCAGAAGGAGGGTTAGAGCCCCAACTACAATTCCCAGAAGCCTCTGCAGTGGCTCCTGACTCACCCACCTCTACCCTCCCCAGCAGCAGCCTAGAAAACCAATAATTGTCAAAAGGATTCATTCCTCATGTTTAACTGCTCAGAGGCCCTGTCATTTCTGCCTTCCAGATGTCCATTCCTACCTTTCCCACTGACATTATCCCTGGTGGGGCCTGGGTTTCTCCAGCAGGCTTGTAGCCCACCTCTCTGCCTCATGCATCTTGCAAACTGCTGCCTGACTCACCTTCTCAAGACACAGCTGACATATGACAAGAGAAAGTCAGCCCAACCCAAACATCCATCAAGCTGCTCCTCAGTACAAATCACTGAGCCTGCCAGTTTCTGGGGACACGAAGATGCATGAGGCAACTCCCTGCCCTCAAGGAGCAGTGGCCATTGCCACAGAGGAACCCTGGTTTCCCAAAGGCCCAGGCTCTGCAGCTCCTTAGCCAGGGATGCTGAACAAGTCAATTTAACTTCTGCGATATTCTATTAGATGGGATAATGAAGTCTGAATGAAGAGTTGTTAGAAGGCCCAAATAAGTAAACTATAAAATAACATGCAATCATGTTTTATTCTTATAATACTTATACTAGAAGTAATAGAGAAACACAGAAACTGGGATGAACTATAACATCAGGCAGGGATGGGGACAATGGATGCTGCTGGGAGAACAAGGAGAGCAGAGGACTCAGCTTAGGGGCAGAGGACAGGAAATGAGCCAATGCAAAGAGAGACTCAGAAGACGATGGGGAGAGAGGCAGCCAAGGGCATCACGGTGGCTCAGGGAAATGGCAGCAGCAGAAGTGGACAGCAGGACGGGATGCGGGTGCCTAGAGGGGGTGCCATCTATCCCCACCTTTTCTTCATTTCCCATCATGCCCCAAAATTCATTTATTGATTTAAACCCAAATATACCACACTCCTACTATCTTCCAAACACTATTTTATTAGGTCTTAGAAATACAGTGGTGATATAAAACAAAAAATCCCTGCTCTCGTAGACCTTACTTCCGGCTGGAAAGACAGACAATAAACAAGATAATCTAAAGTCATTTAATCGTGATGGTTTTTTTTTTTTTTTTTTTTTTGAGATGGAGTTTCGCTCTTGTTGCCCAGGCTGGACTGCAATGGTGCAATCTTGGCTCACTGCAACCTCTGCCTCCTGGGTTTAAGCAATTCTCCTGCCTCAGCCTCCTGAGTAGCTGGGATTACAGGCATGTGCCACCACACCCAGCTAATTTAGTATTTTTAGTAGAGATGGGGTTTCTCCATGTTGCCCAGGCTGGTCTCTAACTCCCGACCTCAGGTGATCCACCCGCCTCAGCCTCCCAAAGTGCTGGGATTACAGGTGGGAGCCACCGCACCTGGCCAGATGCCATTTATTAAAACTAAAAAAAGAGGGGAAAAAAGGCATTTAATTCTATTAATATTTTTAAAAGCAGATAATCTAAAGTCCTCTCTAAAGAAGGGAGTTGGGTTGGGCGCAGTTGCTCATGCCTGTAATCTCAGCACTTTGGGAGGCTGTGGCAGACTGTTTGGGCTTAGGACCTTGAGACCAGCCTGGGTAACACATTAAAACCCTGTCTGTACAAAAAGTACGAAAATTAGCCAGGTGTGGTGGTGCAGGTCTGTAGTTCCAGCTACTCAGGAGGCTGAAGTGGGAGGATCGCTTTAACCCGGGAGGTTGAGGCTGCAGTGAACCATGATCGTGCCACTGCACTCTAGCCTGGGCAACAGGGAAAGACCCTGTCTCAAAAAATAAAAACGAAAATGAAAATAAAAAAGGAGGGTATAGGTGTTATGCAGGGTAAGTGGGGCTGGGTGAGAAGACTGCTCTAGCTTGGCCCAGGCAGCCTTACCCTGAACCCATGATAATCTGACAGTCCAGGGCAGAGTTCACAGCACAGCCCCTGGTGCCTTCCATCCTGTGTCTGAATCCAGTTCTGCCATTTTGTGTGCTATTTTGCAAATCACCTAACCCCCGAGAGCCTCAGTTCTCTCACCTGTGAGCTGTGTGAGACAATGCAGATGCACAGAGTAGATGGTTAGTAAAAACCATTCTTCTACATCTGTACCTGTCTGTGCTGCCCCCGTCCTCCTGCCTGTCTCTGGCCAGGACTTAAATCTGCTGTTAAGAACCGAGGCCCAGGCCGGGCGCGGTGGCTCACGCCTGTAATCCCAGCACTTTGGGAGATTGAGGCGGGAGGATCACAAGGTCAGGAGTTCAAGACTAGCCTGACCAACA